TGTTACCTTTTCTAGAGTCTATAAACCCCAAAACCCCATGATTATAATTTTGAAAGAAATTTAAAACTCTAAATATTGTGATAATATAACAATATCATATGATGGAAACAAAGGTTAATCTTTCAAAGTAGTGGTTTATAGACTCTAGAAAAGGTAACATCAAGGATTCATATCATTTCATTGAGAGACTTGGCTCTGGTGGGTTTGGAGTGGTTTATCTTGCTTAAGAAAGAAAATCTGGTAAGTAAAAGAGGAATATTTAATAGGAATACTTAGACCTATAATACTGATTACTAATAAGATAATTTTGACTCTTTATCATAGGGGATAAGTTTGCAGTAAAAGCAATTTAGAAAAATAAGATTTAGGACTATGACACTTTCCAAAATGAAATAAGAACATTGAGGACATTAGTAATAACATAACTACTGTATAAATATACCATTACAGGATCATCCAAACATTATCAAGCTCTACGAAATATGGGAATGGCAGGATGTTTGTTTTTTGGTAACCGAGTAACTTCTTTTAAATGTTAATGCGATTGTTAGTTTCTGCGAAGGTGGAGAACTTTTTTATTACATTCTACAAAAGAAGTCACTGAGTGAAAAGGAAGCTGCCTTAATCATGAAATAAGGTTTTTCTGCACTCAGTTACATTCATCATAATAAGATATCTCATCGGTAAGCTAAATCTATTTAGATATATTTTAAAATTCTTTGCTCCACACTTTGTAATTAAAAATCTCTTTAGTGATATTAAGCCTGAAAACTTTATGCTAAAAAATAAGGATGATATTACAAACATCAAACTTATAGACTTCGGTTTGGCTAAAGATTTTTCTGAGTAATAAGCTATGTAAACTCCTAGTGGTTCTGTAAGTTCTTAGTATTTTTAATGTTTCTCATCTACTCATCTTCATAATTGCATTTTAAGATAATTTATTTAGCCTTATTACATTGCACCAGAAGTATTTAGCTCTAAATACAATGAAAAATGCGATTTATGGTCAATTGGAGTTGTTCTCTATATCCTCTTATCTGGAAAGGTTCCATTTCCTGGCGAAAGCAACAAAGAAATCATCGAAAATGTAGTCAAAGGTGATTACCATTTCAACCATGAGGCATTCTTGAGTGTTTCAGCACTAGCCAAAGATTTAATCAAGAAATTACTAGTGAAGGATATAGATCAAAGATACTCTGCAGTCGAGGCTTACAATCATCCATGGATTCAGAAAAGTGAAGAGATTCTTGACAATGAAATTGCTGCTGAAGCTTTTGATAATATGAAAAATTTTATGCAAGCAGTCAATCTAAAAAAGACAACACTCATCTATTTGGCCTCAAAATTACCTGAGAAAAATATTGATGAACTCAGAAAACTTTTTATCTAAATTGATTTAGATGGTGACGGTATCATTACAAGCGAAGAATTTAAGCATGCTCTGACCATATATGGATTTTAAATCGACAAAGATGAAATAGAGTAATTAGTCAACTAAATTGATACTAACAACAATGGATTTATCGATTATACAGAGTTCATTGCTGGATGCATGAAATCAAAAATATATCTTAGGGAAGAAAACATAAGAGGGGCTTTTTAATATTTTGACTAAGTAGATTTTCTTGTTTTATAACTTCTTCATTTAGGATTAATCAGGCTCTATCACAAAGGATGAATTAAAAAGTATACTATCATCTGAAGATGTAATGATCCCTGATGCTTACATTGAGCAGATTATTAAAGAAGTCGATGTGAATAAGGACGACTAAATCGACTACAACGAGTTCTTGGAGATGATGAAAAAAGACTTGAAAGTAAGACTCGCAGTTTACAACATGAATCTCAAGGATCTTATGATTTTCAAGCCCTAGTGTAGTATATTCTGACATTGTTTAACTTTAATTTGATTCAGCTTAGTAGAGAATTTTATATTATCAGCAAAATGTTGCTTTAATATAATGTTAGATAATAATTTAGGCAATTATTTTAAGTGAACTGGCAATAAAACTATGTGAATATTGTCAAGAAACCTTAATTTTTACCATTATTTGCTAAAACCGGGGTTTTGGGGTTTTGGGGTTTTGGGGTTTTGGGG